GGACGAGCACCGAAAAGCGAGCCCAGCGGAGCCACCCTGGTGCCTCCCCCTCGCCCTCCGTGCCCCTTCCCCGCCGCCCGCCCCCCCCAGCGAAGGCACAGGGCGCGCTCCGAGGAGCTCGCCGAGGAGAAGGCCCGCCTCGAGGAGGAGCCTGCCGAGCGGGGCGCGGGGAGGAGGGAGGAGGAGGAGGAGGAGGAGGAGGAGGAGGAGGAGGAGGAGGAGGAGGAGGAAGAGGAGGAGGAGGAGGGGGAGGGGGACAAGCCAGGTGCGCTCGCGTCATATCTGACGTCCCACCCCTCCCTCCCATCCCTTCCCATGGCGTAGATCTCCCCTCCATTCATGTAATCGGATGTCGCAGCATGGCATAGCATTCCATGGCAAAGCATGGTGTCACAGATCAACGCGTAGTATGACCTAGCATGGCGTGGCGACGCCCCAAGGTGGGAGGGGGGGCTTCTGCGGCCCAGAAATCAACGAATCGACACCGAATGTGTAATCACTTCTGATGGTTTCTTCGGGAGGCCATTTTTTTAGATTTTGGGGTCTATTTGGAAGGGCCGGAAACCATGCCGGGGCACGACACTCAAACTACTGACGCCAGCGCTGCAGCGGGAGCGCGATTAGGACCGAGCGGAAGCGCGGAAATGAGGCCAGCGTTGCAGCGGGAGCACGATTCGGAACGAGCGGTAGCCCGAAAATGAGGCCAGCGTTTCAGCGAGAGCAGCATTTTGAAACAACTGTGCGCGGAAGCGCGGAAATGATGACGCCTAGCCTGACATAGCATGGCGTGGCGGTGCTGGCCCTTTCGCAGATATTCTCGCATCAGCTGATCAGCCTGCCACGCATGTCACACAAAATCTGCGCCACGAACGCGCACGTAGCTGGTATATAATTCCCACGTGCTGTAAGCCTGCGCAGGCGAAGCTCTGTGCATGCCAAAAAGTTGGCTGTGGTCGCGGAGCTGGCTGTCTCCACTCGGCCTCCCGCCTGCCCGTCCGCCGAGACTGCCGTGCCGCGTCTCGATGATCCGCCCGCCAGCTCTCGCCCGCCCGCATCCTTTGCGTCGTCTGCTACTGTCATAGTGACGTTTGGTGCCACTCCGCGCGGGGGAGGAAGAACAGACGGAGGAGGAGGAGAAGGAAGAGAAGGGGGAGGGGGAGGGGGGAGGAGGAGGAAGAGGAGGAGGAGGAGGGCAGGAGGAGGAGGGGCAGGAGCAGGAGCAGGACCAGGAGCAGGAGCAGGAGGAGGGTGAGTGGAGTGATGATGCAGATGATGATGATGCTGCTGCTGATGCTGATGATGTTGATGCTGATGATGATGAGGATGATGATGGTGATGATGATGATGCGGATGCTGATGACGATGCTGATGATGGTGATGCTGCTGATGATGGTGATGCTGCTGATGCTGATGATGATGCTAGTGATGCTGATGATGATGATGCGATGATGATGACGATGATGATCATGCTGATGATGTCCATGATGCTGATGATGAGGATGATGGTGCTGCTGATGATGTTGATGCTGATGCTGATGCTGTTGATGATGATGCTGCTGGTAGTGCTAATGATGATGCTGATGAGGATGCTGATGATGACGACGACGATGGTGATGCTGGTGGTGACTTAGAATATGGGTATGGTCATACTGGTGGGGATGCGGATGCTGCTGATGCTGATGCTGATGATGCTGATAGTGCTGCTTCTGATGACGAAGACAATGCTGATGCTGCTGCTGATAATGATACTGATGATGCTAATATTAATGACGATGATGATGCCGATGCTGCTGAGGATGATGGTGGTGATGATGATGTTGATGCTGACGATCATGACGATGCTGACGATGCTGATGCTGATGATGATGCTGATGATAATACTGATCCGGATGCTGTCGATGGTGGTGATGATGCTGATGCTGATGTCGATGTTGATGCTGCAGCTGATGATGATGCTGATGCTGATGCTGATGCTGATGGCGATGAGGGTGCTGATGCTGATGTTGTTTCTGCTGATGCTGCTGCTGCTGCTGATGATGATGATGATGATGATGATGATGATGATGATGATGATAATGCTGATGATGATGACGGTGAGTATGACGACGATAATGGCGATAGCGATGATGAGCATGATGAGTATACATGGTGACGTTGATGCTGCTGCTGATGCTGCTGATGATGATGAGGATCGTGATGATGACGAGGTGCTGATGCTGAGGATGATGATGATACTGCCGATGCTGATGATGATGCTGCTGCTGATGATGCTGATGATGTCGATGAGGATGCTGATGCTGTTGTTGATTCTGCTGCTGATAATGATGATAATGATGATGCTGAGGATAATGCTGATGATGGTGCGTATGACGATGATGACGATGTCGATGCTGATGATCATGTTGAGTATACTGGTGACGCTGATGATGCTGCTGATGCTGCTGATGATGGCGATGAGCACGAAGCTGATGAGGAGGATGATGAGGACGAGGATGTTGAT